ATTGCCTCAGGTGGTTCGTCGGCATCCAACCACTGTCCGAAACGTCTCCTGTTATCATACATGATCTCCTTTTCATCACAATTCGGTCCAAAAACGGGTCGTTTCTGTTGCGCAAAAGCAGTGAAGAAGAAACCTCGAGACGTGCCAATTTCTGCCGGTCACTCAAATTGTGGGGCACCCACTTGTCGAGTTTTTTCACCTTCCCAATGCGTTTCAGACCATCCGCAACAGTGGATTTGCCAACGCCTAGCTTTTCTGCAATCTCTCGAACTGTTTGGGATGGGTCAGCCTCCACAAATGCCTTCAAATCCTCGTCAGGTATTGCTTTAGGTCGACCGCTACGAGGTTCATCTTCAAGGCTGAAATCTCCAGAACGAAATTTGTCGAACCATTGTCGCACGGTGCTTTCTCCAACACTAGTGGGCCCCCACACCTGGTTAATTTTTCGAGCGAGCTGTCTCGACTGCGGATTGACCCAATTTGTAGTTGAAGAACAATATCGTCAAACCAAACCGCTCTTTTGCCCTGGCCAGCGAGTAGCCCCGACTAAAACCCAATCGAGGATGTGAGGGGCTTCATGGTGCGTATGATCCATGAGAGTAATGCACAATTCCACAATGTCCGTGAGCTTAGGGAGTAATCATTGGGGCAGTCGGCCGAAAGCCTATTAAAATCTCTAATCGAACATGGGCAACCGTATTTTCCAACTTAATTGGAGAAATAGAGTTCCAATAGATTACTGGATCAAAATTTATTCATTTTATTGTACACTTGTTGTTGGAATATTCGATTTGTTCGGTGGAACTATACTTTTGCTGCGTTGTCAGAACGACCATTTTTGAAAAAATTGACGAAAAAAATTGTTTTTTCAAGTTAGTGATTGTTGTTGGCATGCGAACTGGTGCCGGCCATTACCACATTTTCTGTATGAGGGCATTTTGGAAAACTTCGTGTAAAACAGGATTTTGTGAGATTCATGGGTGGAATTATGATTATGCTTCGCAGTGTATGTGTTTTGAAGGCACACTGAAGTTTAAGGTGTAGGAGTCGATTTTCTCTTGAACTAGCGGGTCTTCAGGAAAACTGTAAAGCGTACTGGAAAGAGAAAAGATAGGGCGGTTTCCAAGACGATTTTAATCCTGATGAAATTGCGTTCGAAATAAGAATCCTCGTGTGAAGCATAAAAACCCGCTTGCCATTTACCCCTAGCCGATCCGAAACCCATCCGAAATATTTCACGAACGCGAAACATTCAGACAACGCAACAGTAAGAACATTTCCGTTGCATGCTGCTAAACATTCATCAAAAGTGCCCCTCTAAGAGATATAACCCTCCGAAAAGACCCCAGGACGTTGGCAGGCCCGAACAACCGCGCTCCAATGACGTTTTTCCAATGAAAGCGGTCGCAACGTTGCGATCGATAATAGCCAAGTATAGAACGATATACTGCCGCCTGGTTATCCATTTTTTTTCATTTGGCTCTGCATTTTTTGTATTTTTCATGTTTCGCTTTGTTGTGTCGTGCATGTTTTCATGATTTCCCCGTCACCATTCATTGAATGCACATCTGGGGCCTGACACGCTGACCTTGGGGCTATTTTTTTCACCAATTTAGCTTATCAATGATCACCATTAGTCGCTGTTTCGATTGTGTTCCTTGTTACAAGTTGCATGTCATACATGGTTGTCGAACGACGAGTTTTATTTTGAATCCTAAGACAAAATTGTAGGTAATGCGAGGCTGTTGTTCAGCCTCATATTGCATGAGGCTGAAACAGCCTATTATTTCCTGGATTTTAGAGCAGAGTCCGCCTTTCGAAAATCCAGATTCCATTTCAGGAAGCCATTTGTGGTGAACATGCATCTGGTTGTCAGTTAGAGCAGGAGGGGGGGGGGGGGGGTCGTACTCACACCGCCATGCTGTACCCTGACAGCATATTAACAAATAAATGCACTGCATAACCCCACGACGCCTTCCACAATGCTTATAATTTCTAGCCTTTTTGCAAAGGAAAGAAATAAATGTCATTAATGAACAAATACATACAGAAGTCTACCTTGATCCGAGACGATTGCGATATTCACGCAGCCAAGAATGTTAGCCTGCAGAAGCCGTGAGAAGAAGGAGTCCAGTGTCCGGTCAATCCTATCGAGCACGTTGGCTACCTGTAACGAGCGATCATGTTGTAGTAGTTGTAGCCACAGCTGTAGAACGCCAGTAGACGCGAAGCCTTATCGGAATGCGAGGAACTGAACTGAGTAAAACCCACAACATAAAAAGACAAGGGTAGCTATTTTGCATTTCATTTCATAAACACATCATTAAATTCTTCAACACGTCGCCTTTTAGCTTAACAAGTATTGGGACTTTCAAGGGTTCAGCTGGAGTCGAGGGCCGTCGGACACGTCGCGATGGTCGAGGCGGCCCGGCAGGCCTTCGTCGGTGGTGCAACGTCATCCTTGTTCGCGGAGTCGGACAGATCGAACACTTGCATGGAGATAGGTAGTGCTTCTAACGCGACAAACGATGCTAGGTGTCCAGGATGGCTTTGGTCGAGAATTCTTGACATGAACGGTGTCCTTGACTCCAATGCTGCAACGTTGAGCGGTAAGCCATGAGAACGTCTGCAAAGTGTCCTCTTTCGGTTGTTCCCTCTTTGATCTCGAGTCCTCGCTTGAAGGTGTTCACAAAGCATTCCGCTTGTCCGTTGCTTTACGGGTGGCACGGCGCCTTGCGGATGTATGTAATTCCTCGGGAACGACAGAATGAAGTGAATCGTGAAGAATGTGAATTGCTGCTTGTAGTTGGTCTCCAGCGTGAGGTGTCGTCAAAGACACGAACAAAGCGTTCTACCGCATGGCAAATTTAGAGCGAGTGCTTCCTTCTCAGTCAGGTTGCAAGTCTTCTGTGCTGTCGTTGCCCAACAGCTCAGTGGTAGACAGTCTTCTCGATGCCTTTAGAGGAGCGATGAGAGAGAGTCGCTCCAATTCCATACTTTGAGCCATCGGCAGCTACGACGATCGGTAGGTTCGGGTGGCAATAAGAAAGCTCAGTGTTGTCTTCAACGAGCAGGTGTCTAACGGATCGCGTAGATGGTCGCATCCTTGAAGAAGTTTTCGTAGAAATGAATAGTTCAAAGTGCGCAAAACGGTCGACCTCTAGTGTAGTGGGCAAATTCTATATGTCTTTGATCTTGTCCGGATCGGAGCGCCGTCTTTGTATATTGATGGCAGACCTAAGGTAGGAGATTTATGTCTGCAAAAAGTGCATGTGCACTGAACACGAACTCTGTAGTTCTAGACCCTTTTGAATACTCTTCCAGTAGAGTCGTTGGTTCTGCCAGTGACCAGTATGTCGTCGATATGCGATACTTTCATATATTCCAGCGATTAGTTCCATGCACTGTTGGAAGACGCTTGGTGCGAACTTCACTCCAAACGGTAGTCGAATGAAACAGTAGAGTCCGCGGCGTGTAGTGACTAGCAGCTTCTTCGAGTTGTCGTCGAATTCCACCTGCAGATAGGCTTAGCAAGGTTGCGCTCCGAGAAGTAACGTTCTCAGTTAAGCTTTTTGAAGGTGTCGCCTGGGCTTGGAAGCGAGTGCCGGTGCTGTTCAGGTGCGTCTTTCAGTCCTGCTGAGCAGTCTGCGCAGAGTCGGGTCGTCAAAACTTGAATAGGCCCCAGGCGATCGATTTTGGTCAAAGTCTTGGCGTAGCAGCATATGGGCGAGCCTTTATGAAGACAGCCTTCGTTTCAGGTTTCAGCACGACCGCATTGATTTAGTGCAGCGACCTAGTCCGGGTGGGAAGACTACTGAAACTTGTTTTTCAGATGCACAAAGAGAAGAATTCAAGGTGGCGAGCGTCCTTGGAGAAAAGTTGCAAACTGTTCTTCTGTTATGTGGCGAAACAGCTGCTCGTGTTAGGCTATCCAGTCTAGGCCAATAGCGACAGCTACTGGTTCTCAGTGACCATCAATGAAGAAGTTACCCCCCCCCCCACAGTCCTCAAACGCTGATCAGCTTGTCCTTGGTAGTCGGGAAGGTTGTAGCTTCGTAATACCCCTAGCAATCCAGTCCGCCTTCTCAGCAAAGTCACGTCTGCTCAGTGTCCAGAAGCACGTTTATCGTCTCTCTTCGATTTCCACGAGGCTCCAGATGTGTGATAGGCAAACGACATGAGTTGAAGTGAAGACGACGTTGCTTGGCTGTTTTTCGCTTGTGTTGTGGCTTCCGCTTCCTCGCCCTCTAATGATGACCAGTCGCTTGGCATGTCTTCTTCGCGATTGAGCAGCCTCTTGACCAGTGGTTTGCTCCACAGAGAAAGCACAGAGGGCGGCCCGTAATCTCTGCTCTTCTGGTTGTAAGTGTAGATGGTATTCACTTGAAGACGAGCGCCTCGTTCAAGCAGTGCGACATTTTGGCGAATGTCGAGACATTGCTGGATCTCAGTGTCGAGGTCCTACAGGTTTTTGGGATGTCCTCCATCTACGGGAAGCGCGTGCCCAGACATCTGCATCCTCGGAGGCAACCCATCCGCATATCCTATCGCACATCGAGGCATTTCTTCTCTAGGAGTGACGTTGTTGAATTTGGCCATTGGGTGTCGTTGGCTGACCATTATCGTGTAGCCGCAAAGGATTCTTTGACAAAGATGTTGTCGCTACGATACTGCCGTGACAATTGCTAGTGATTTTCTTGCCTAGGTTCTTTGGTGAGCCTTCGCTTATTATGGCTCACCGCCCTCATACATAGAGGGCGGTGGGTTGCGCCCGCAAAGGTGAATCGGGCCAATGGAACGAACAATGGCATGAAACCATTGTCAGGCCCGAAACAGGTGCCACCGAAGCCACTACAAACCAGACTACTTAGTCGAGGAAGTAAAGGGAGTGCTCATCTAATGACGGAGCGTGCCGTTAATAAAATCGATAAGCAAAAAGTCATTCACAAGAGTGCTGAGCTGTGTGCGAGAGCCGGCAACGGACAGGATTCGAACCCGCACCCGTTCTTCCGCTTACCGAGCGGCTGCGTTCCCTATTACGCTACCGGGGCCACTCTTTGACCTCTCAGCTCAATGGCTATTTGTGCCATTGCCTTCGAGCACTCACACGTTCAACGTGATGAGCCGGTTAGCCGATATCGGCAGTGAACCGCAAGGCTGAAGGCTTTTTACAAGTTTCAAGCTGTTATTGTTTGATAACTGCTGTTTAACGCCGCAGTGCGCGATCCGAAAGTTATCACAAGAGTGCTGAATTGTGTAACTTTCGGATCGCGCACTGCGGCGTTAAACAGCAGTTATCTAACAATAACAGCTTAAAACTTAAAAAGCCTTCAGCCTTGCGGTTCACTGCCGATATCGGCTAACCGGCTCATCACGTTGAACGTGTGAGTGCTCGAAGGCAATGGCACAAATAGCCATTGAGCTGAGAGTGGCCCCGGTAGCGTAATAGGGAACGCAACTGCCCGGTAAGCAGAAGATGCGGGTTCGAATCCCGTCCGTGGTCCGACTTTTGCCCATAACTCAGCATTCTTGTGATAGCTTTCGGATCGCGCACTGCGGCGTTAAACAGCAGTTATCAAACAATAACAGCTTGAAAAGTCATTCAGAGAGTCGCGAGAGACTACGAGACTGATTCCGAAGAAAGCCACAATTTTTTCACCCTGGGGCACTACTTACCCTTTTACTATCTAACTCTTCGGATTCTGGCCACAAATGGGTCGGTTTTTTTCTCGGAGGTGAGTTGAGCTGCAATGAATTTTACCTTCGGAGCGCGAATATCATATCAATTTGACGCGAAAGTGCCTAGCGATTGCGCTGCGACAATGCCTGAACGTTGATCCTGGGAGTAGTTTGACCTCCCAGACACAAATATCGCATAGACTTGGCGCAAAATGCCTGGTAACGCCTTGTGACGCTTTGCGGTGATGTAGCAGGAGCGTTCTCCTACTCCATGAGGACGTGAAATCGAGGCTCACTGGGATGTAACCAGGGAGCGATGTTGGGCTATCATCCTAGAAAAATTTCGATTTAGGTTTCCAAGTTTGGGGAGAATAAATGGTAAATACGCGAGAACACTTTCCGTCTACTGACCATCACTTCCTATATGCAGTCTTAGTCCTTGGACATAAGTCTCAAAGTATAGTGGACATCTCAGTGCTACTTGATATTCACAAAGTCATGCTCTATATAACTTACTGCTTCGCCCGATCCTTCTTTCTGAAGCGTTCTCACTAAGTCGTCATTGCTTACCACAACTAGACCTGGACGTGTTGAGGAAGGCAGGCTGAGCCACTGAGTCACCTGAAATGACTAGTTTGATTTCACAACATTTCTGAGTTTCTATCCGGTGGCGGAAGTCGAAGGTGTGCGCGGTGTTTCCTGACACTGCTTCACTTCTCATTCGGGTCTGAGCACATTGCATGTCCCAAGGGGGAGCGTGCGCCTACCGGGTAACCGCACACACTTCAAGGTCTGCTGATTATGAGCGATGGCTAAACCTGATCCAACTGCTCTTCTAATGGATGCGAAAATCCGCTTGAGGGCACGAAGTAGTCGGGAAGATCTGCAATTAAGATGCGAAAATTGACTGTAGAAATATCAAGAAATGAGAACAGCATTTTAAGCAAAAAATCATCGAAAATTCGCAAAGGTTGTCTCCATCAGACCGGCGATGTTAGGTTTGTCTGACAACCTGAAACACTGTGATCAAAACTTCGAAATAAATTTTCCTTCACTAAACAACATTACATCGATGTTATCTCAATCAGTGCGTTTTTATTGATCGAGGGATATCCACGTTTACCCAGTTCTGTTCTATATCTTTATTGAGAATCTTTGTCAAAGAGACAGCCTTTGTGATCTTCCAATGACTGTTCCCCATAAGCAACGTAATTCTATTTGAAGAACTAAGGTAAAGAAGGATCATACTGCCAGTAAAATAGTAATTATTTGCAAACTGGAAATACTGCAGAGGGTAACGAAAAGAAAGCAAGGACTATCCATGCCAGCTTGGGCCATCGGTTCAGTTCCTAAGTTCCACAGCCGGTGACAAAAAGGCACCGAAACTGCACTGAAACTCTGCAAAAAATAAGTAGCTAAGCTAGACGGCGCGCCCCGCCCAAGTGGCTGGGCTTTAAAGACAGCCCCCGCGCTCAAGTAGTACATGGTCGTCCTTCCTTGTGCAGGTAGTTCAGCCCCCAAGCTAGATACTGTCCCACTCTCGCGACTCCACAGTGAGCGAGGAGCGAGCTACAGCCGCTCAAAGTTCTAGTTCTAACGCCCGCCCAGTTGGACCGCCCACTTGCTAGCTGCCCTCTGACGGAGAGCCGCTCAGTTGTTCTTTGTTGGGACGGCGGGCATTAATCGGAACTGCATGTACTTTTTGCTGACCGCGCTCGTGCCCGTAATAATTCTGCTCTCCTTCATCACATTTTATTCATTGGGAGCACATACAGTCAACTGCAACCCATCTCGTAAGGTAAAACGCGTAAAAATCACGAATGATGCAATTTCTGTGGTGCAAAAGCTCGACATGCACCAAAAGCTGCACACTGCACGTAACCCCAAATCCACGCCAGGTTTTTGAATTTTTCCTTTTTCAAGTGTTTTTCGTTCTCGTCTTTGTTGTTTTACATATTTCTTTTCTTTTTTGAATTTGTGGATGTTGTCCACTACTGGGAAATGCCATAAAGCGATTCTGTGAGCCAGGGGTTGCCCAGGGACGCAGGGCGGTGTAACTGTAAGGGAGCAATTTTGTTTGTGGTGTTCTTGAGGGCTCTTGTTGCTTTTTCCTTCATTGAGGAATTACTTATCAGCTACTGTTTCATAATTGATCAGCAATTATCCTTGACACTTTTATCGCGGGAGCTGTCTTTAACACGCCGCATACAGATGTCGCCAGACGGTCCTCTTCTCCAACGATTTTTTTCCGGTCCCCAAATTCTATCATAATGTGCGATAGCTGATATCACGGAACTCTTTAGGACGGTGTTAGGTTTATGGAGCTAAGTATCACCCTTTTTTCTTCTGAAAAAAATGAAAGAAGCGTCACGTCATTGCTTCATTCCTGATTGCTCATTTGAAAAGGAGAAAAACAGGAGGGCTCCCTCCGTTTTCGTTTGCTTCGGTACTGACCGTCAACCATGCTCGAAGTTGTTGGCCAAGAATGCACCGCCACTCGACCTCCGGTCTGTCTCTTGTATGACAACCATATCTGCAGGAAAATATGCATCAAGGAAGCGTGCAGCACAAGCAACTAATCATTCTCTAAAACGATACCGGTTCCATCTGCGAGACATTCGCATTTACACTCTGTAGGTACGACCCTAAATTTCTTACTTTGAATATGTGACAGCTTTTAGTGACATGCAGTGAGATGTAGACGTCTTGCCAAACTCGAGAAAGCGGTTGCAAGCCTCTTATTTTCACAATGCGGCGAACGAGGCATCGTAAACAGGGTGACGTATGCACTAGGAATAACAGTTTCAAAGCGGCTGTGCTGCACCTCTCAAGCCTGTCTGTAGCTACGGGAAGTCGTTCCGGTTTGTCCGCATCACCGCAATGTGGAACCAACATCTCACTGCCACGTCTGCGCAGTTACATACAAGGACCACTATTCTATGCCAAAAGAGCGTTGGCACTATCCGCTCATAACACGTCATGCATACATTGCGCAATGCCAGAGGACTCCGAATAAATACACGCGATCAGACGACAATTTCTTCGTACAGCATTGAAGGTAAAGCGTGATCAAATGTATGCATGTCTTGAAAAGGGTGCCGCTAAAGAGATACTTTGTGAGCGGATAGCGCCGACGTGGTATAGAATACTGGGCTCTGACAAAGGCGAATGAGCCGAAACGTTGGCTCAATGAACGGAAAATCTTGGACGGCTCTAACTAGCTATTCATCTGTAACCACAACAATGCCAAGATTACGAGTCAGCTGATCGATGCCGTTACATCTGTATTCGTGTGGTCACCTATCTCGGGCTGCGTTCATACTTTGCGGCAGCGTCCGGCAGCGTCAGTGACTAGGGAAGTATTGATATCGATCTAGCGCCTGCCAGCGTCTACCAGCGTCTCCGGTCCGGTAATGGAGGGTATGGGGTAGCAGACAGGTGGTAGAGTATGGAGAGCTAGGATAGCAGACTGCCGGCAGTCAGTATGGCACGATAGGAGAGTAATAGACAGCTGGTACCCTCCTAACGCCCCACTCTCTCTACCAGCAGTCTGCTGCTGGTCGCTGGTGGACGCTGGTAGACGCTGGCAGACGCTAGATCGATATCCACACCTTTCTAGTCGCTCACTCTGCCGGATGCTTGGGACGCTGGTGGACGCTATCGGTTGTAGACGTTGCCGCAAAATATAGACGCAGCTTCTCACGTGTCTCTGATGCCACCCCCGAAGACTTCTTCAAAGCTCGTCAAAGGTCGGGTTTTAGTTATAGAGTTTTACACTTTCCCGTTGGTATTCAAAATACAAATTCACATTCAAACCCACTAACGACGGCTCGCAATCGTGGAAAACGTTCTATGAGAAATGTGGCCGACTCGTCAACTTATCAAAGAGGTTGCACTTATGCGCTATTCGAAATGACTGATCTCTCATTTAAGGACGCATGCTATGTAGCTCTGCAGCTTGTCCAAATGTTCGTGAAAAATTATATAAAACAACTCCAGCTATATCAGCCGTTCTACACAGATCATTGTCGAGAGCACAATAGATC